CAGATGAAGGTTTTTGTCAACGCTTTCCCATTTAGTAAGAATAAACAGACACATTTAAGTGCAGCTGATTTATAAGGTAATATTAAAAGCAGTATAAGCATTTAAAGAGATTTATCTCAAATAAAAAATACAGATTTTTTTTCCCCCTTTGATATGTGCCGTGTAATTCCGGAATACCTCATATATCAGGTAATAAGATATACCAGAGGTATACATTTCATGTAATAACTTCGAATGTCACGAAAATGGCACAACATTCTGGTTCCCCTCGGCCGCTGTAGTGTGTGCGCCCAGGAAGGGGCGTGAGGTCAGCCTCTTTAACCGGCTACATTTCGCTGAAGAGTAGGAGTCCACACTGCAACCGGACATCACGAAAACTTGACCGGTTGTTTGCTTGTCTGTTTAACAAATTCCAAATCCAACGCCAGCGCAATGAATTTGACAAACTCATTTTGCTCTCCTGAAATTGGTCGGAAGTGGCACGCTTCCTCACAGGATGGCTGGGAATTCTCCAGCACTCCGAAAAGCGCCCGGATCATTGACTACAGTGTCCTGTGGTCCTGTGTGCGGGGCCTGGAGACCAAATTAGGCCCTAGGGAAGCCTTACCAAACCCCCACTGAAGTCCACGGCAATTTGCAGACGCACTCAAGCGGGCACTGGCGGCTCACGGGTCTTGTCAATAATTTCGCTAGGTCCGTAAACTAGACATACACGCCCAAAAAAAAAAAAAAAAGGAAAGAAAAAAAGCCACGCGCACACACAGGCACACACGACCAAAAACACCCGAACCCACAAACCAAAAAGTATGCGTACCTCTCCAACGTCGTAGATCCAGATGCGGCCTTCTGAGTCTCCGACGGCAACCTCCTTGCCAGCTTGGGCCCAGCGAACACGGTTGAGGGCGGAAGCCCCCTCAATGGCCACACTTGCTGTTGGCACCTGTCAAAGGGGAGACGACGGCAACAGAGAATCTGAATCTGAATTCAGATACACAGATTCAGTGATACGTTTAACTGGGTGAGTCAGAGTCACCTCTGCCTTCATGTGCACAAAGTGATATACATCCCCTGTGCGGGGCAAAAGGATTCATTGTTCTTAAATCATATGCTCCACTGAATGAAGGGGTAGAGAGGAGACACTTTAACAACAAAAAGAAAAGCTGGAGAGTCTTTTTTTTCCACAGTCAGTGGGCAGTGAGTGACAAATATTTCTCCGGATTATTCAGGGTGTATGTCCGACCGTACAAACAGCAGCTAAATGTGATACTTCACGATCGGGTCATGATTTATGGATCGATGGAGAGAGGGATTTCAGGATTTACTGAGATTAGAGATACTACAAAAGGCGGGGGGGGGTGATGGTGGAATAAAGGTCATATTAATGTGTGTCTTCAGGGAAAAAAATATGTATTGATCCCTCAAAACCTCATCGGGGAGGGGATGATCAGAAGAAGAAGAAAAAAATGCAGGTGGCAAAACTTCAAAAGCTCGAAATCTCCTTTCTTTTTTTTTTCTTTTTACCTTTCTTCCTCCCCCCCCCCCCCCCCGCCCCCCTGCTTTCCCCCTTCCTGTCAGTGTCAGGGTGGACAAAGCACTCTCTAACTTTGGAAATGCCCCCAAGGTGGTATCCTGAGAGACTGCAACACCTACCTATTTGTAGAAGAGGCCTCACATATTCTTTAATCAACACTGAAATCTGCCCATGTGGGTAATCACTATCATACTTATTATTAAAATGAACTGGAGGTGCTGAAATGGAACCTGCAGAATTTGCTACAAGAACCCTAGTATTAGGAAAAGATGTTAGTGGGTCTACTCCTCTTCTATCAACAGTTGTGTAAACTCTTGTCTTTAAGTTTGGGAGTTTATAACTGATAGATCAGATCTCTGAGCCCTCTACAAGAATACTGAATAGGAAAGGACAACAGGCCATTAAAAAAGAAGAGAGTAAATTTCGAAACAGAAAGAAAAAAAAAAAAAAAAAAAAAAAACAGTGAGAAGAGGGCCCTAGAGATCCTCTCCCGCCACTGTTTAAGACCTGTGTCTACTAAACAGGTCGTTTTAGGATAGAAACCCGACATGTCCTGGGCCTCAGCACTCCCGGCATTCTGCTGTTCAGGGAATTGAAACCATCTGTTTATAGGGCATTATTGACCCAATGCCTATCTTTAAAATAGCAATAAAAACTCCATCATATGTAAGAATCTATGTTTAAACTTAATCTTGAAATCAATAAAAATTCTTTTACCTGCTTAAATCACTGTATGCCAGTTGTGAGCAAAAATGTAAAACAAAAGTCCCCAACTCATTTATTTTTTAAAAAATACACAATTTCGACAATAAAGGTACCTGCTGTGCAGGCTGGAGCTTGAATTTTTAACCAAACCTTTCAAAGGCCAAAACAATGTGAATTTAGATGGGCCATAATTCTGTCAATATGCTTCATTATTAGTGTGCTACTCAGAGAACCAATCCGTGATTCAGCTATACAGTTTTCAGAGTTAGTTTTAACACCATAATTTAGGGAGACTGTACAGGATCACACTTTGCTTAACTCTGTTTGATATCAGATTTTATCAATGAATAATCTCAAAGATTGAATACAAATGTTGAATCTTAATACGAATATGTTAAAAAACTAATCACTCAAACTGATTTCTGATACCTTTTAAATTATGCCTAATACATTTTAAAGAATCTTATTTATTGAGAATTAAGTAGTACAGCAAACTGGGGCAATATTTTAACTATTTAAAAATATCCTTTCAAATCTTATAAATGATTAAAAAATGACTATCACAGCCTGTGACATGTGCTAAAAAATTATCAAGTGCTGAAGGAAATGATAAAATATATTTTATTAGTTTGACTCATATGACCTCTCAGAAGTTGATGAATCCCTAATGAAAATAATCCATATATTGACTCTATCTTCTGTACTTTGGTTTCACAGTTATGTTCACATTTTTTTAAGGCTCAATGATTTTAATCGCAAAAACAGGGAGATACACAGCATAGATTACTACCATTGTGTGGAGGGCGGTGATATTGAGGTAGGTGAATATGAACTATCCTTGCATAGGAGCAGTTGGGAAAACTTGGTCCAAAAGTACAGTCATTTCAACAACACCATCACCAACGAATCACTCTAGGAATTCGGGTTCTCTGTCTTTCTTTTTTACACACATCTAAACCCTAATCTGACAAGTGTCTGAAAAATCTTGCTCAACTTGATCGAAGGCAAAAATGATCTTAGAGTTTTAAAAAGTGTTCCGTTTGCTACTGGATTTGAATCTGATTCGATATATCCACTGTTATTCTGAAAGCAGAATTGTGTTTACCACAAAACTAAGCAGTTTGCATGCCCCCTAATGATCCTTAAAAAATGGTTAGCTATAAAACTCTTATGTGGTTGTGCCTTGATAGCTAGAGAAAGAGAAGGGAAAAATTACATTTTGCAATGTTGACACCTTGATTTCATTTTACCTAAAAAGCAGACTAAAAACAAAACAAAACGAGTTACATAGGAACTATTAAGGAGAGTGTAGAACACAGTCTACTGCATCATAGTGGGCTATCACCTCTAAACATCACTTCTAGTAGATCTGATTTCTGATATGGGGGGGGGGGTCTCCTAAGCCCACCTGGAAAACGTGTGTTTTTTGGTTGCTTTAAGTGAATGAGTTTATTCCAGCAGGTAGAAGCAATATGAGTTTAATCAACGGTGATGAAAAGACTTTGGGAAACCAACACAATGTCAAATAATAGCATCTTTTCGTGAAAAGCAATAATGTTATGAACATTTCAACATCCCAAAGGATGAGCGTTGCACTATTCATGCCTTTTGATAATTTTCAAAGATGCTTCATTACGTAACCCTTGCCTCTGTCACATAGCTAGCTCTTGTAGCAGAAAGAAAACACAGATTTAAATGGAAATATTTTCAGAAGATAACTATTTGGCAGTGGCTAGAGGTGCAGAGCATTTTGCGAGATACAACGGCTCAATAATGACACCTGAGGGATATTGCCCTGCCCCCTCCCACAAAAAAATAGTAGGGGAACCTCCTTCTCCTCATATCCTCCAGCTGTAGGCCTCCTAATTAAAAAGGCTGAGTTGCTTCCTGCCCAAAACACTTCAAAAGACCTTTCTCTTGTTCTCCACTTGATGCAGAGTTTGCAGCACTCGCTCCCCTTACCTGTCCTCCCTTCTTATTTATGGAGAGCTGCCCTGAATCACAAGCCAGGAAGTGATGAAGAGCCCGTTTCATGGTATGAAACTGAAGGATATTTAATATTCAAGTTAAAAAAAGAAAAGTCACCACAAAACAAAAAAACAAACAAACAAAAATACAAACCAAGTAGCTGAATTGGCCCCTGGGTAATTTTAAGGGTGTGGGGAAAAAGGGGACCATGCACACGGCATCATTTTTTAAAACCATCAATATGTATAGAACTTTTTCAGGATCATTTAAAAAATCCCTTTATTGCCGATTCCTTTTTTTTTTTTTTAAGAAAGAGGGCCATCTACTTGTGAAGTATTCTGAACGTGACTTGTTGAAATTCCACTTTTTTTCAAAAAAAATACTGCGTTTAACATACGTGTTCAGAGTCTAAAAAAAAAAAAAAAAAGTGCTGTGAAAGTCCGCCCGCGAGTTCAGTATTTTAGACAAGGATTCTTTGCCTCGTGAAAATCACACGGAGGGAAGAGCTAAACGTGAACGGGCAGCGGAATCGTGTTTAACGACTCTAACAAGGGCAGCGCTCCCGGGCGCAGCCCCAGGGATCCCTGCACCCGCAGCCGCCTCCGCCGCCTCCGCCGCCTCCGCCGCCTCCGCCACCTCCGCGCCCCTCGCAGCTCGCAGCTCGCTGCTCGGGGGCGTGCGCGCGGGTCCCCTCCCGTGGGGCCCGCCGGGCACACGCGCCACTGGGCTCTTCGCGATTGTGCAGGAGCCGCCACGCTTCGGGGACGCAGCGGCAGCGGCGTGAGATGGGTCCTGGCCGGGGCGTCTGCAGTGGCCCTCGGGGCAGGCAGGAATGGGGGGGGGTCGGCCCCGGCCGGGGCGGGGGGGGGCGGGGGCGGCTGCGCCCTCCTCCCTCCTCCCAGCGGCGTGAGATGGGTCCTGGCCGGGGCGTCTGCAGTGGCCCTCGGGGCAGGCAGGTATGGGGGGGGGGGTCGGCCCCGGCCGGGGCGGGGGGGGGGCGGGGGCGGCTGCGCCCTCCTCCCTCCTCCCAGCCCTCCCGCCGGGCGCCTGCGCCGCCGCTCACCTCCGTGTCGTTGTTGAGGTTCCAGAGGTCCAGGCGCCCCATCCCGTCCACGCAGGCGAAGAGCGCGGGGTGCACGGGGGACCACATGACGTCGTACACGTAGTCGGCGTTGTCTTCAAAGGAGTAGAGCGGCTTGTTGTGCTGTGGAGCGGAGAGACCGTGAGGGCCCCGGTCGGGCGAGCCTGATTACGGACTTTGCACGTTCACAAAGTGCCATAAAACTCCCCGAGATGAAAGTCCTCGAAAAGGTGAACCGCAGCTTTAATGTGCCGAGAACTGTCCAGGGGCATAAATAAATGCCGGGGGGGGGGGCGGGGGCGGGGGGAGGGGGGACCCCGAAGGGCTGGGGCCCGGGGCCTGCGGCGGCGGCGGGCTCAGACCCCGGCGGCGGTCGCGACCCTCGGGGCAGGCGGGCGCGGCCGCCGCTAGCCCCGCGCTGCGGCCGGCTCGGCTCGGCTCGGCTCCGGGAGGCGCGCGGCCCGCGGGCTGGGCTGGGCCGGGCCGGAGCCGCGGGGATGCTGCGGGGGCCCCCGCCGCCCGGCCGCCCGGCCCTCTCGCACGCAAGGCCGCGCCTGCCACCTCGCGGGCTCGGCCTGCAGCTGCAGCGCGGCCTCCGGGCCCCCCGGGCCCCCCGGGCCCCCCGCGCCCCAGGCCTGCGGCGGGACCCGCTCCCCCGCGGGCGGCAACGCGAACGCAGGTTTGGAAGGGATTCGTGGCTCCTCTGGGGGGTTCGAGACCTCGCGGTCCGCAGACCCCAGTGTCTCTGCCTCCCCGGGGCCGACTGGCGTGGCTCAGCGGAGAACCCCCGAACCCTCACAGGGCATGCACCGCGTCCTCCAGATCCCCCAGGATTTCCAGCAGCCCCGAAACTGGGTGTTGGGGGGGAATGCATTAGCACACCCCCACCGCATACAAATGCTTCCACTCCAGAGGGATACAGTGAATTAAAATGGCACTCTTGATTTCCAGCGAATATTGTCACATCAAAATAGCACAGAAGTCGGAGGCAAGTCTGAAAGTACACCAGAAATAAAATGTAATTGGACTTCATGAATTATTCATTCCATCTGGCTTGTCTTATTCTAATTTCTGCATAATGGCTTTACTAATCCCTGATCAATTAATGTAAAATGAAATTTAAATGATAATGAAAGCCCTAGAGATAAAAGAAATTAAGTATTCTTATATCCCTTGACAGAAATCTAAACAATGGGAGTTTTTTTTCCACAACGTCTTCTTCATCCAGTCAGCTGTCTGTATTCTCTTCATGGGTTCGACTAAATGCCTGGGCAGACCAGAGTAAGAAGAGAAAAAAAACATAACACAAAATATGAACGATCAAATCCTTTACGCACGGGATATGCAAAGAACGTTATCTGTAGGTGACAGCTCCAAATGTCAGAGCGGACTTCCAAAGCGTACTGCTGGCAAAGGTAACATGCACAGAATGCATGTGCTGAAGTCAAAGTGAGAAAAATCCGTGCGAAGACAATAACCTGGGGCAAAGACTGGTGAAGGTGGCAGTAACTAAGTGATTTCTCGTTTCATGAATCACATTGCTTTGGCATTGCTCAGCACTGAACACAATTATATAATACTAGTAAAGCAACGCAGAAGACTTTAGAGGGCCACTGCGCATGAGGGGCATAGGTAGATGGGTGAGATGTGTTTTACTTGCAAAAAAATGTCTAATGTGGGAATGATTTGAAAAAGAACGTAAGATATTGGGACCTCAAAATCGAAAGGGTAGACATTAGCCTTATGGTTTTATATTTTAATATTCTATGACTCTTTTATGTCAGAACGTTTACTATAAATCATGCTTGCCGCGTGATTTCAAGGTAAAATTATTTGCGCAGTTGCTATTTATGCAGCTTCTTGCTTTCTCTCGTGCTTTGGACTAGGTGATTCAAACTACCTTATCCAGAGAATCTGAATATCCAGTGACAGACACTTCCAAGTGGCATGACTGCATCATTATTCCTTACTGAGCTGGAGTAGCTGGTCCTTCCTCGACCACTTGTGAATACTAAATTATTTAACTCTTAGTAAAAGACTAGTCCCGCCCCAAATTCTTGATGTTATCGTTAGCCAGTCACTATTTGTTAAAGACCACGAATAACACATTTTCTTCAAATCAAAGGGTGGAAAACACATGCTTAAAAGCGTCAATTCTCAGTATCCTCTCTCGGTGACCCCGCTGATAATATAACTGAGTGTACGGAGGTCTAGATGGAGACATACACAGACAGACAGACATGAAACACATACCACATCTGCAGTCCTTGTTCTGATCAATTATAAAACCACCCAACCTTAAACAGTCATTTTCTAGGAAGCCAATATTATCTGATACATTAGTTCTCGAGATAAATTATCCTGTTAATCTCTACTTTGTGTCTTTCCTTTTTTCTTTTAGTTGCTGTTTCTGCGAGAAACTTAGTCAAAATTGTAATATATCCTGGAGACTTCACTTTTTAAACATCTGGAAATAACAGCTATTGTTCATGACTTACCAAAATCCAATTTTCTCCTGCTTAATAGTATAGTTTGAAATGCTATTACTGTCTAGGTTTTCTTCCAATGTCCTCACCCCCCCCCCCCGACCCTCCAGACGGAAGCTCCCACTGCAAGAATCACTGGCATGTTCTTCTAGGCTGCAGTATGCACCCGTTTAGGGAAAGGAAGAAGGGCTTGCATTTTCAAAGGCTTTGTTTTAACGTGGATAAATTCACAGGTTGGGAGGGTCTTTGTCGGGATTGAACCCCCTGTCAGGATACCTGGTGGACCAGCAGTGAGGAACCACTGGTTCCCAAGTATAACCTGGTACAAGCAGACAGGCATAGGTTAATGCCACTCTTCCATTATTAAGCAGTGCTGTTTTGAATATTGATTGTACTTTTTTGATAAAGGAATTCTTTGGTCTTTTTTATTTTAAGGGGCTCAACGGGTAATCTGAAAACCCCATTAAAAATTTGGTGATGGAGACGAAGGAGCACACTTGTCGTGAGGAGCACCAGGTGGAAGTGCTTAATCACTATACTGTATACCTGCAACTAATATAGCACCCTATGGTAACTAACTGGAATTAAAATAAAAACCTTAAAATTCTTTGCCTCAAGTGCCTAATAGAAAACATTTTACAGTAGTAGGTAAATATACCATGAGCTATTAACATTTTCACAAAGTATGTCAAAAGCATCAGCGTCCAAAGATTCTGTTATGGAAGTCTGAAACCTAAATGTCTGGACTCACAACACTATAGCATGATCACTGATTTTAGAATGTTTCAAGTTTTGAAAAGATGCAGAGTGTGGGGACAGATCCTGACAGGTGATTTCTGAGGAGGATCCTCTAATATTATTTGTATCTTTTAAAAGCTACAGAAGCTTGGTGACCTAAATATTTACTCTGCAAAATACTCAAGGCCATTTAGTAAACTCAATATGGTTTCACAGCATGTTACTGTAGCAAGTGTTTTTCCAAACCATCAAATTTCATGAGACCAAAGACCTCTCCACCTGTGTGCTTCCCCTTCTAGTGCTGCGTTCAGCACCGGCACACTGCTAAAGAAGGAAAACAAGGAAAGTGCACCGCTACCCAGCGTACTACACGTGTGACACATGCCAGTGAAACAAAGCCACAACACCCTGTGCTTTGGTCAAGTTTCCAGGGCTGTGCCCAAAACCCAAAAATATCCAGACACACGTATCGGCTCGACTTTACTATCCCGACTCTCAAACAGTGCAGAGAAGCAGGCCACCAGTCACCTCTCAGACAGACGTGAAGGGCAAGGAAGGGTAAATTGTTGGGTGTTTGCTGTGCGTGACTCTACACACACATTTCTAATTTAATCCGCATTAAAATCTCGGTAAGGTAGACAGTATTTACAGAAAAGAAAATTATAGTTCAGGAAGCTTGGTAGCTTTCTAAAGGCCACGAAGGTTGTAAGTGGTGGAGTTAGATTTGATTGTCTGGTTTTCCTAACTGCTAAGCACATCCTCTATCTGATGGAAGCATGTGGTCCTCTATAAAACATAGCAACGGTCTTCGGTCTTCTTAGCAAAAACAATAGCTCTGTTAACCTGTTGTTCCATTCAATTCAACTGATATTTACTAAGCACATACTGCGTAACTTGTAGAAGGGGTTAAAAATATCACAGAATGGTTATTTCATTTCCTGAATTAATCATTAATAATCCTCAAGGTGCTACCCATACAGTTCCAGGCATCCTTAGCACCTTATGACACAAACAGAAATCTTTTTCTCCAGAAAACTAGGAATAGGATAGGAATGGCCCTTAGCCAGCAGGGATTAACAGCAGGCCATGCATTAGAGAGCATATTAAAATGATGCCAGGAGGCAGAGATCTGGGTTCCAGTTCACCAAATGTCTATAGAGCTTTGAGTGAGAGGCTGTAATTACATGATCTGAAAGATGAGGATAACACAGGACACATGGGCCAGAAAAGCAATGGGGGAAAGTAGACACAGACTATAGATGTTGGTAAATTTAACTTAACATCCCGGACCTTAGTTTTTTCTTCTATAAGATGGAAGGTGGGAGCAATTGATCTAACAAGTTCCTACTGGCTTTCCACGACTCTGTTCTGCAGTAAGGATTGAAGGGAAAAAAGTTTGTGAAAGTTTTTTACAAGGAGTTATTCAAAGGTAAGTGTTATGATTAAAGCCATTTTCCTCGATGTCCTGGGATATTCCCATCAGCAATTTTAAAACATTTTTTATTTCATAAAAATAGGCATCTAAAAATGTATCAGGGTGGTTTTTGGTGAAAAACTGGAAATTATGAAAGTAATGACAGACCTCTTATTTGACCAACTAAAGAAGAAATAAAGAATATTAAATTTACACGAGAGAAGCAGGTAGTGAACTCTGTTCCAGAGTGAAACCGTACAACATCCATCAACGTTTTACAATAAAGACTTGATCTCTAAGTTTGAGCTTTGATTTTATAAGTATACTTCTGACAATGACTAGAGCTGCATATTTTTCCAATCAGTTAACTATAAAATGATTTCATGAAAGATGAATTTCTATTTCTGATGTCAGATACATACCAAAGCCACATTTAGAGAACATAACGTTTGTTTTATTTTTTCTCTATGTTATTTATTTTCCCCTCATCAGAACCTCTAGGCATCCCCAACAGTTTAGAATTTTGAAGGCTGTGAATAGGAAGATTTGTGTTTAAATGCCTCCTAACACCTCCAAACACTGTGGTTCTTGAGGTCGTATTTGCCTCTAAATGATTAGCTTTCAAGCAGATTTAGTAGAAATGTTTACCCAAACCATGAAAATTTCTTTTGGAGTGGAGGGGAAGAGTGGTGGGGGTGGGGGTGATACGTGGATAGGTGGGGAAGGGGCCAGAAAATTAACAGTAGAATTTCTGTATTTTATTCTGAAATAAAGAGAAAACAAATGGAATCTTACCTTGAAACTATATCCTGTTGGGAAAAAACGATGACCAAAATACTAAACAATGAGTAATAAGAAAATGTCCTTCAAAAATTGTCATGTGGGTTCCTGTGAAGTAATTAAAATAAATAGCCAGCCAGTTCTTCCAGGAAACATTAAAATGTGAGACCACAATATCACTTTAAAAAAACCACCAAAGGACCCCAAAACTTCAGGCTCACACAAAAATGGATGCCTCTACCATAAAAAGAAAGTGCTTAAACAAACAAACAAACCAAAACTCACAAACCAAACCAAACCAAACCAAAAAAACCCAACTCTGTTGGCCAAAAAGAGGTGTTGTGAATTTGGTACTATCATTAGAAAACATTATTTGCAACGTAATTTAGGATTCTTCTAAAAGCACACAGTATCCCGTATTTAACCTTCAATTTCTATGGCTGCTCATATTAAAACAATACAGCCCAGACATATACGATACCTTTGCCTGTTTCTATCACGATCAGATATTCGAAATTAGATATAAATACTTTGGGTGAGCTATTCTTAACAGCACACGGATAGTGGGTCTGCTTGCTGTTTGTATGCATTAACAGAAACTATATAAGGACTTTAATTTGAATTAGTCAATTTAAAGTAATTACAAAGAAGTTTCTAGAAATCCAGGAATGTAGAGCACTTGCCTCTCTACAAATGTAGAAGTTTGGCTAAATAGGTACTGAAGCCACATAAAAGTTATTCTTTGTTGCACTACCTTCCTCTCCTGCTTATTTGCATGGAAAAAATCCTAATCCAGGAGGCGCCACCAATAAAGAGGATAATTATCCATATAAAAGAATGTATACATATTCACAGGTTTTGACTAGTATTTGAGTGTTTAAAGCCATGATAAAAACTACAAGCTCTGCCTAATTCATAAAAGGACTATTTCCCCCCTGCACTGGCATGATTTCTATGGATATCAGCTCCACCTAATGGTTCTTCTTTAACATGGGCATTTTAGTAGCACAAAGCTGTCCAAATCTGTGCGAAAACACTAAACAAACTGGGATGCTCTCTTAAATTGCTGTTTGCCTTCATCTCAGCTGCTCTGGCTCTTTTGCTATGCTCTGCCTTCTTGCTTGAGTTGCAGCAGAGCAGAGAGAGGGCCACCGTAACGCCAAAACCGGAGTGGCCGAGTTGGTTCCTTAGTGCAACTGAGGTGGCTTGTTCTCTGGACTGCTATTCTTTCTCTAGGCTGGTATTTTCTTTATGAAGGCCCCCATGGCTGTAGGAGGCAAACAATACAACAGAACCCCTTTGGTGGTTCTGGGCCAATTCTATTTCTACTGTGGCGGAGTGGTTTCACGTCCAACAGGATCTCAGTTAGAGGAGGAAGCATTTCTTCTCTCTACATAAATGGAGGTATACGTAGATAAAGGTCAGGTTGCTTACAGACTGTACTCGAGGCAGGTGGGAAGGATGTTGGTATTAAGGATGAGGGAGTGTAGAGGGAGGATAATGGGTTAGCCCTAGAAGCAGTTTTAAGTGTGGTTGTATCCTTGTCTTGAAGACTTGAAAAGTTAGAAGAATGAACATATAATGTGGTGCCAGTTTTGTTTATTCATTTATTACCTATTTTATGTCAAATTGTTTAGCTGCATCTTCCTAAATTAAATGGCAGATCCATGCTGATCCTCAAACTGTCAACCTCCACTCCAGCATCTGGCTTACAAATTATCTTACTCGTATAAATGAACTGCTATTATCTCTATATATGTATAATTCTTTTTTTAAACATATTTTTAAATTTAAATTCAATTAATTAACACATAGTGTATTATTAGTTTCAGAGGTAGAGGTCAGTGATTCACCACTCTTATATAATACCCAGTGCTCATTATATCATGTGCCCTCCTAATGTATACTTCTTAAAGATTTAAAATATATAAAATTATAAATCTAGATCCATTCATTATACCTTGACTCATACTTATTTCTAAAGTGCCAGGTAAACATTTGCTGGTCCCCAGGGCTAATCTGACATTAGTGATCTCATTATACTTAGTAAATATGACATTTGGATAAATTTCATTTTTGTTCAAAAGTCATATACCTAAATACCCAGATTTCTGGGTTTAAATTCTAATGGTAAAATTATTTAAATTTTTAAAGAAGATTTTCTTTATCTTAGAGACAAAGCACAAGCAGAGGGGAGGGCAAAGGCAGTGGGAGAAGGAGACTCCTTGCTGAGCAGGGAGCCCTATGCCTGGCTCCATCCCAGGACTCCAGGCTCATGATCTGAGCTGAAGACAGATGCTTAACTGACTGGCCACCCAGGCATCCCAAAATTATTTAAATTTTGTATTCTGCTTCTTGTATCAGTAATTGATTTTATATATATGATCTATATCTACATATCCCTATCCATCTCTATCTATATCAAGGACACATTTTCAAAGGATCATGGCAAGTTTTTTGTAGGTCTGCACTCCTGTGTCTCCTGATGTTAAATGTAATACATCTTTTATATTATATCTAATACTAGTATAGCTGATATTTATATTTATTTCAATCATGGAAAAAAACAAAAAGGAGAATCCCGCATAGCAGACGTTCAAAATATTCTGTTTATATGTAGAGCACATTATGTTTCCTATTTTGCAACAGATTTGCTTACTATA